TACATTATTCAAGATAAAACAATTCCTTGACTCAAAGTCAGCATCAGTAAACAATTGAAAATAAAATCGCGACTATTATCATTATTATTAAATTATTAAAGGTTATTTTATTAAATTCGCAGTATCAAAATGTTAAGCTCTTTCACCGTTTGAAAAAAGTTGACAAATCAGCAGAAAAATATATTTTCAATATTATATACGAATACCTCTATATAAAAATGGAAGAATATTTGATTCAAGATGAACCAATTAAAAGGAGCATAAAAATAGTTGTAGATTCCATTGAAAACATTGTACGTTTTTTTTTCGTACAATTTAATTATGGCATAATCATGAGAAAATTTGTTTATAAAATAGACTGTGAAAGAAGAAACTGGCATATCGTTTATCGTGATACATAATGACGTAGTGCTCGGAGAAAGTACTCCTCTCATTATCGATCCGGGTTTCAAGGAACCACCGCAAGTTTACGACGTCAACTTCGAGGTCGAATTTTTATTTATAGTTAACGACCACAACAATATAGGTTCGATCGTATCCACACCGATTTTAAGTAAATAATTTGCTCTTTTATGTTACAACATATTTGCATGCATATCAATAAATAATTTATAATTATATTAGTAAGTTAATAATTATTTCGATTGAGGTAAATTATTGTTTTATCAGTAAAAGTAACGAGTGATGTCCAAGATCAACATGTACCTGATTCTGACAGATCAGTTACGGAATGCAAGCAGAAAATAACAGCGAACGTTCCACAGCAAATGTCGACTTCATCAAGCGTAATTGATTTTTGCACTCTCGATCTAATGCCGATATTACTAGGTAATGATTTATCACGCTGACATGGAGAAAGTCGAGATACTGCACTTAAAATAATTCTAACAACCTTGACCACTAGGTGAAAAATTGCTCGTTGAAAGATTAATAGTGCAAACGCCACATTTCTTTCGTTTGATGGCAAGGCGATCTCGTGGCAAAATCTTCCTTTATTAAACGCAACAGTAATACATGATGACAAGGAGATATTTTCTTCGCAAGCAGAAATTAATTTCCTGAGTATTACGGTGGAAAGTATCTACAATCCACCAACTTTTTTTACCAAAGATGCGGATTATAAAGCGGGCACGATAATATATGTTGACAATAAGGTATATCTTATTGTTTTTAATAATTTAATTTTTTATTTAGCTAAAGACAATAGAAATTTTAGTTATAACTTTAGGATCAATTAATTTTAATTAATTTGATTAAGAGTAATTAAAAGACAACATTCTCTCTTTCCTTTCCTTATATAATACATCAGATTAAAAATAAACTGATTATAATATTTTGATTATAATATACTGTTCTTTGCATTTTTCATTATAACATATATAAAGATTTGTACATGAAAGAAAAAATAGTTTTATAAAAATAACGAACTAGATGCGCAACAGTGCCAATAAAACGTGGACAGAAAAGATAAGTTACTTAGAATTGATTCGCATATCACGTCTATAAAGATAAATACAAATATCAGAATCCTAAGAAGTGACTAGAATGTCAAAACAAATATTTGTAAAGAGGATTGCATTTTTAATTAATTATATATAATATAAGTCAATTAAAATTTACAACTGTTAGACATTCAAATTAACAATGTTTTAAATGAATTCTCTGTGTGTTAATTCGATAAAACAAAAATATTTATGCAAAATAAAATTAATCATAATTATATTGTATAAATAAAAACTCTTTATCGCAGCTTTCGGAAAATGTAAAATTCGAAGATGGTAAATGGACAAAATATCGTGATCTGGAGAGAACTAAACGATGGCGAAGCTTATCAAAGTTACAGAGTCGCGCTAGATTGTCGAAGTATAAACTCGATTACGATTACGCACATATAAAAAACATGCTCGACGTAGAACTCGACTTACAAGTAGGAACAATTTGATTTTGCAATTTGATTTCTAATAAATTAACTGTACAATGAAGCGCAGAATAATGCGTAATTTGCAGAGGAAGGTATGCCAGGACGAGCCTAGAATCGAATGGAACTTTATGAATCGCAGTACATTGTGGGATGTAGGAAGCGAAATAATGAAGAAGCATCTTGTCAAATACATATTCATTAAAATTTCTTTCGTATAAAAAATCGAAGAATTCATGTTAAATATCATAATTATATTCGAAGGTATAAATATTGGCCATTCCAATTTATGGTAAGCAAAAAGATCACGGAAAAGAGCAACATTAAACAAAACGAAGAAGAATTGAGTGAATATCAGTGTTACGTCGATTTATCAGAACTTGTTTTTCTAGGAAGTAAGTGTGAACAAATCATTTTAATATATGATAAATAATCATATTGTTATTATCATTATTAAAAAACTTAATACTTTCCTCCTTTAAACATTTTCTATAGTAAAAAGCACTCGTGTAATTGCGCAATTGTACACGAATGATGCATCGAGTATAGCCGAGAAGACTGGTAAACAATAGCACAGATTACGCTTGAAAGAAGTTATCTTTAGCATGTACAAATAAACAAAAAGTGACTATAAGTATATATATATAT